ATTACTTTCAACAAGCACTCATCTCTTATGCTCTTAAGAGTTACAAATAAGAATAGTTTAGGATATTTTACTCATTTTGTTATTTATCACAAACATCGTTGCTAGATTTGTTGATCTACTCTCTGAAATCCGTAGCATGATATTCCACCCACATTTACAATATTTTACGGCTTTTAGCACCTGATTTGGTATTCTTCTTTAATTTAAATTTGTTTTTGAAAATCTTAATATGGTGTAATTGCATGGTTCAAGTATATTATGTTAAATTTTCAAACTTAATTTCAACTTTTTAGGAGGGTTAGTGGACCAACAGTCTTGCTAACGGTTGTCGATAGCTCTAGCGGAAAGAAAATCGGTGAATGCAAAGCTGAAAAAGAAGGTCATTTTTAAATTTGTCTCGTTTTGATTTGCTTATGATGTAAACCAGCGAGAAGACTGCTTTTGAAGGCAATACACACCTTTATCATAAGATTACGACTTTCCTTTTTGCAGTGTTAAAACTCTGAAATATTTAGGGAATGGTTGGCGGCGATTTTTTTGGACCTTGGAGGAGAATTCTTTGCTTTGTAACGTATCAAATACTGAAATTTCTAAAACTGATCTAACCCAAATTAAAAGTCCGCAAACGTTCTCTGTTCGAATTTTATCAGGTATCACGTTTTTGAAAAAATGGTGTCAGTTTTTCATCTCACATCCGCTTAAATAATTATTTTTTTTAATTAGAAAATGGTCCTCGTTGCTTCCGTGACATGATAGTGCAGAATGAGAGGCAAAAAGGGTGTCCGCCAATGTTGAAACGAAATATGTATCAGTATGCTGCCCTAGCTTGTGGATGTCCAGCTGCATCTTTAGATGAAGAAGGTATCTTCTCCTCTAAAAGTTTCTGAATTTTAGTTTCAAATCAGCTTCTTTGAAGGCTCAGTGTTTTCAATAAATCGTAATTGCTGACATTTTTTAGAGAGTGCCACAACGCGAGAGAGCAGTATTGCTTTCCCACTTTTTAAACTAACTCCGTCGTCGACTGAAACATTAAAGGAGGATCAAATTTCAACTCAAGAAGGAGTTTCTTTAAATGGCGCCTACTCCACCGCGATACCTCTTGTCACACCCTCTAATGTAAGCGCTTTCGTTGAACATTACCCTCGGCTTATCACAGCAGTGAACTCCCAAGTACCGGCCAAACCCTCAAGTTCAAGTCCGTGCGACGGTATGGAGTGTGAACATAATGGGACGTGTTTGGTT